TTCTGGAAGTCTGCTGGAGCATTTGCTAAGGGCCCATCACTAAGACTTTGTTAGAGTTGCGCTTCGTCTTGCCAGCCCATCGGAGCAACTCATACCTCTCTTCATCATCACTAGTAACATCTGTCTCAACGCCATCATTGTCGTCACCGACGTCGCTCTGGTATTCCTCGATCGAATCCTGAGCTAGGGGCTCGTTCGAGTTTTTCCCCTTCGATATCACCACCCTCGAAAGATCGACTTTAGCCTCTGTGTCCCCTTCCTGCCGCGGGGATTGTCGTTTCTCAGAGTTATCTCTAGAGGACCGCTTCGAGGAACTAGTTTTAGTTTTTTTCAATGGAGGTTCTTCGTTCAAAATCAATTCAACATCCGTCGTTGAAGCTTGCGAAGCTGCGGCCAATCGCGACCTCCGGGCTGCAATTGCGCTGACGGGGGCTAAGATACGAAGGCTGTTAATGCGGTTGCTCTTCACAGTAGAGGTATGAGAAAGGAACGAACGCTGCGTACCTGATTGGGATTGCATATCTCCTTTCCTTTTCATTTTAAAAGCGAAGTCCAGCTTAGCCAGTGTCAGTGGCCGAGCTTGGGGGTTTTTGCTGCGAAGCTCCGGCTTGTTGCAAGTGCGGCGGAGAACTTTAGCGGTGGTCCGTGCACTGCGGCTTGCACCAGAAGCTCTGAAAAAAAGTCGAGCGACGAAAACATCTCAAGCGACGAATAAGGCTTGGAGCGCAAACCAATACCAATGCCAACATCTGGATCTGGAATTAGCTTCTGGATCAAAACTATTATATTTAGATTTATATAACTATCTTACTTTATCGATGATTGCATATTAAACCGGCAGCAACTTCCCCCTCCCTCTCGATTGCTCGTATTGACTCTTGCGCGCATAGTATCACTTCAACGACTCGAACAAAAATATGGCTCCTCCGTTGAGCAAAGAGATCATTACAGACAGTGATAGTAGTGACCTGGAGTCCCCGTCCTCTCCTGAACCAGCACCACAAAAGACCAAGTCCTCCGTCCGAAAATCCACCGAGAAGGCTAGGTCAAAAAAGCACAACGCGAAAGAAGCGAAGCGAAAACCTGTCCCAGAACCAAGCTCTTCAAGCTCAGACCCAGAGACTGAAAATGAAAGTGCCAGTTCATCAGAAGGAGAACCTAGCACTCCTAGGATGTAAGGCATCTTCGCCATATCCAACAGACTGCTGTCATTCTAAATGCTTATTGTACTTCCTAGGGATTCCGACGTACCGAAACCCGTACCTGCGCAGGAGTTCAAAGCACCGGAAGGATTTAAGCTGATGTCAACAAGTACGCCGCGGTCGTCCGATGTTTCAAAAGTGTTCTCAGATCTACGAGGGAAGCAGATATGGCACATCACAGCCCCGGCCTCCGTGCCGATGAACTCTATACAAGAACTTGCACTTGATGCTGTGGCTACTGGAGGGTCGATATTGACACATCAAGGAGTCAATTACAAGCTCCGGGAGGACCAGATTGGGGCAGAAAAGTACAAGTCGCTTCTGCTCCCCGACGAAAAGGGCAACGCCTATCACCGAAGCCACGCTAATGTCATGCAAACCTTTCATTTGGAGCAGATCGTTGACTTGGCAAACGGCGCTACACACTCTGAACAATCTGTTCGAATCAGTGAACTAACGAAGCCCAAGCACGAACAGCCCAGACATCTTAAAATGCGATATAAACCAATTGGCTCGACGGAGGACCAGCCGGAAACATTTGGATCTAGTTCGGACGAGTCAGAGGGGCACTCGTTCCGAATGCCTCAAACACTTTCTCAGGACCATGAAGGTAAAAAGAGGAGGAAGTCATCGATGGAGATAGGATCGGATAATGAACGGGGGGAACGACGCAAAAAACATAAACGGATACATTCGAATTCTGCCGATGGTAACACAGAAATACACTCGAGAAATAGAGACGTGAATCCGTCCTTAAAGTCTAAGACATCTAAAAATTCAGGAATTACCCAGGGCAGGTCAGAAGAGCAACATGTGGAGAAGAGTAGCAAAAAGCACAGGGATGAGACTACTCAGGAGCGAAAGACACGGAAGGAAGAAACGAGGCGGAAAAAACTGGGGCTATCGTCATGATAAATTTATACCTTTTCCTTTACAAATCCCAGCAAGTTGAATTAGTTATTTTCATGAATCGTTCATTACCGCATCCTGCGTTCCCAGCTATCGCCTACCTGTGTTTACCCTTCCAAATTTCACGAAATTTACCTGATTTAACATTGACAACGGTACATACTAGTAGGCTCTCCTACTACCCTATTTCTATTCCACACTGTTACCATTATTATTGTCAATATTAAATACCATAATCCGTACAGAGCACAACTGCGCCTTAATGGTTGGGAATCTAAGCAGGGGCGCCGGCCAATCTATCGGGCCGAGCGAATCACATGACAAACCCTAATCACGAGATCAGAGCTGCCAAAACTAATGGCAAAAAAAAAGTCGGCAAAACCAACATCGCCGTGACTCGATTCCTCCTCCCCAAACACTAAATTCCCACATATCCGTCAAAACACCGTAGTTTCACTTCAGAGACTCCGAGAATACATATATCTCTAGGAATTGGTAATTCTGGACCAGTGTCATACCCACATCATGGCAACATACGCTCTATCGCCGTCTCACCGAGACGTAAGTATCCCACTGGAAGTTCGGATGGAATACCAAATGGCTAACACCATATGGACAGCAACTCGAGAAATCTCTGACAGAGTCCGATCCAGAGATTGCTGAGATTATGGTATGTAACGATTTCTGTTTTGTTTTTGCTTATTGCCATGATCAATTGCCATTTCCCAAGACTAGCTTTTTGCCCCTCATTTACTGACCAATTCCCCCTCCAAACAGAAAAAGGAGACTCAACGCCAACGAGAGTCAGTCGTTCTGATCGCTTCTGAAAACTTTACCTCCCGTTCTGTGTTCGATGCTCTGGGATCGCCCATGTCAAATAAATATTCCGAGGGTTACCCCGGCGCCAGATATTATGGCGGAAACCAACACATCGACTCCATTGAGCTTACCTGCCAGTCGAGGGCTCTCAAGGCGTTCAGCCTGGACCCAGCCAAGTGGGGTGTCAACGTACAGGCCTTGAGTGGAAGCCCTGCCAACCTGGAAGTTTATCAGGCCTTGATGAGACCACACGACAGACTGATGGGTTTGGATCTTCCTCACGGAGGACATCTGAGCCATGGATATCAGACCCCACAGAAAAAGTATGTATAACATAAGATGTCAATAATTTCCTCCAAAATAAGTGGCATTAACAATCCACACCGTGAATAGGATTTCCGCTATTTCGACATATTTTGAAACTTTCCCATATCAGGTCGACCTCGAGACTGGCATCATCGATTATGACACCCTCGCCAAAAACGCCAAGCTTTACCGACCAAAATGTCTAGTTGCAGGCACTTCCGCATACTGCCGTTTAATTGATTACAAGAGGATGCGTGAGATCGCTGACTCCGTCGGCGCTTACCTGATTGTCGACATGGCTCATATTGCCGGCCTCATTGCTGCTGGTGTCATCCCATCTCCGTTCGAGTATGCTGACGTGGTCACCACTACAACCCACAAGTCCCTCCGTGGCCCCAGAGGAGCCATGATCTTCTTCCGCAAGGGTGTTAGAAGTGTCGACCCCAAGACTGGAAAGGAAACCATGTACGACCTCGAAGGTCCCATTAACTTCTCCGTCTTCCCTGGCCACCAGGGTGGGCCCCATAACCACACAATCACCGCAATGGCTGTTGCGTTGAAGCAAGTCGATACCCCAGAGTTCAAGCAATATCAACAACAAGTGCTGAAGAATGCTAAAGCCCTCGAGGAAGAATTCAAGAGACTGGGCTACAAACTCGTCTCTGACGGAACAGATAGTCACATGGTCCTTCTGGATCTGAGGCCAAAGGCCCTTGACGGTGCCCGGGTCGAGGCCGTCCTGGAACAGATCAACATTGCCTGCAACAAGAACTCCATCCCTGGTGATAAATCCGCATTATCACCCTGCGGCATTCGAATTGGTGCCCCAGCCATGACCAGCCGTGGCATGGGCGAGGAGGACTTCAAGCGCATCGCCAACTATATCGACAAGGCTATCGATATCTGCAAGAGCGTCCAAACCGGCTTGCCCAAGGAGGCTAACAAGCTTAAGGACTTCAAGGCTAAGGTGGCCAGTGAAAGCATTCCGGAGATTTTGGATCTGCGCAAAGAGATGGCCGCATGGGCCAGCACTTTCCCTCTGCCAGTCTAAAAAGGGATTTCGCGATTCATTTTTTGGAAAAATTCTAGTTCCAGCCAGGCTCGAGTCCATTTATAATCGACGGGTTAGGATCCGAAAAGGAAAAAGCGTGATGGAACAAGAGGTAGGGGATAAAACAAAAGTAGTATTTATTTTCAACCTAACATGAGGACAACGAAGATTACTTGCATGATGGGCATGAGTTCAATGGATTTTCAACAAGCGATCCATGGCGCAGCTGGGCGATTCTATATGTATATTTTATTCTTGCATTTCTTTTTTCTCATTCTCTCTCATCTTCTTTCATTGGGCATATCTGAATCTCATCGTCAGAATGCTTACAAATTATCTAACGTGGGTACGAATTCAACCACCCACGAGCTGATATACGCACATGCATGCTCACATCTCCTTCTTAATCCCATCTAAGTTCCGAAATGACTTGCCACCCGCAGACATTTTAGGGTAGTCGGTTAGTTCATGCTAAAAAGCAATGAAATATGTAATCAGTCTATCCCTGAATTATTATTACCTTAACCTTAAAACCGTGAATCTTGACATACAACCAGGTAACGCCAAACCAACCACTCCATAGTTCCCCTAGTATATAAATAAGAGAAAATAATAGCGCCTTACTCCATCGCATTTCCTCAAATAAATGAAAACATCGACAAAATCTTTGGCACCAGAATAAAACCACTCCAGAAAACATCATGTTATCCCGTCCCTGTCAGTCCCGTAACCACCCTACTTCTCCTCCCAAACTCTACAATAATCCCCTTCAGCCTCTCAATCTTCTCTTCTAGTGCCTTAATCTCACCCTCCTGCTCCGCCACATCCCGCTGCATATCCGGCAATGCCGCCAACGCCGCCTTGGCCTTTTGAATGCGAATTTTCACCGCGCTAGCTTCCGACAGCAGCAACTTTGGGTCCAAAAAAGCAACTGCAGCTGCGTCTATGGTATTGGGACGCGCAGCGGTTGCATTGGCAGACGACGCTCCGTGGCCCGGCCCGGGTCCGCCGATAGCTGATGATGGTCCGTCATTGCCGCCTGTAGAGGTTGGGTCTGCGGGGTGTTGGTGCGGGTCTGAAGAGCTTGAGGAAAGGCGAAGGAGGAGGTCGTGGAGCGCGGGGAGGATATCGAAGGTTTGTGGAGGAGGGAAGGGGGCGGGTTGTGCGGTGTCTTGCGGCTCCGGCTGGAGTTGGGGCTGGGTCTGGGATTGGAATTGCTGGGAGAAGCTGGGTGTCGCGGGTGAGGATGTGCCTGTGGCCGGTTGGAGGGAGGAGGCTTTCTGGCCTGGGAGGGAGGCGGAGGTGGGTGTTCGCGAAGATGCCATTATAATAATCTCTGGGTGCTCCCGCCTAGTTCCGGGTTGTAGGTTAGTTAATTGTTATGGTTGTGATGCAGAAGCCCTTGAGCCGCCCTAGCTGCCGCCGTTGTCATCAGCAAGTGTGGTGGTGGCGCGCAAGGCAAGTAAGTGAGTTAATGTTGTAATCGATATCTCCTTGTTTTTTGATTCTAATTCCGGAGCAAACCCGTTTCGGTGACGTAGAACAACCCAAGCTGACTACGCAGAATATATTTAAGACTACCAAAATGCCCCTCCTCCCCCGCCAACATTTATTTCTCCTCCATACACATACATCTTTGCACATAGATAATACACTATTACCAGTTAAATCGCTAAACATAACCAATTGCTGCCCTTATGTTAATCAATTGGCGACAATAATTTACTAATTATCTCTGTACCCTCGACATTCCTCGTCACCATGGCCAAGGTCGACCAAAAAACTGTGTTGAGTATGTTAATATTCCTCAATTGCTTCACACAACCCCCTATATACCATCATTCTCTCAGAGAAACAGTGTATGATTAACGCCAACGCTGACCCTTAACAGTCGTTATTGACGGCTGGGGTATTGCTGGCCCCGACTCCCCTCCTGATGGGGACGCAATCGCCGCTGCTGACGCTCCCGTCATGTCCTCCTTCGCCGACTCCAATTCCAAAACTGCACAGGGCTATACCGAGCTCGACGCCTCCTCCCTTGCCGTGGGCCTCCCCGAAGGCCTCATGGGAAACAGTGAGGTGGGCCATCTGAACATTGGCGCCGGCCGCGTTGTCTGGCAGGATGTCGTACGCATCGACCTAACCCTGAGGAAAGGAGAGATGAACAAAACCGAGAACATCGTCAAGTCGTTCCAGAAGGCGAAAGATGGCAATGGGCGATTGCATCTGCTCGGCCTCATCTCTGACGGCGGTGTCCATTCGCACATCAACCATCTGTTCGGACTACTACAGGTGGCTAAGGACATGCAGGTTCCCAAGGTCTTTATCCATTTCTTTGGTGATGGGAGAGATACGGATCCAAAGAGTGCGACTGGGTATATGCAGCAGTTGCTTGATAAGACCAAGGAATTGGGTGTGGGTGAGTTGGCGACTGTGGTTGGGAGATATTATGCTATGGATCGCGATAAGCGGTGGGACCGTGTCGAAGTCGCTATGCACGGGCTCGTTACTGGCGAAGGAGGGGAGGAATCGACGGATCCGGTCAAGACCATCCAAGAGAGATATGAGAAAGGGGAGAATGATGAGTTCTTGAAGCCAATTATTATTGGAGGAAAGGAGAGGAGAATCCAAGGTACATTTCGCCTTTCCCCCGCCGTGTATTTCGTACTTGCTTACCCGAATATACAGACAACGACACGCTCTTCTTCTTCAACTACCGCTCTGACCGTGTGCGGGAAATAACGCAGCTCCTAGGGGACGTGGACCGATCGCCCAAACCAAACTTCCCTTACCCCAAAGACATCTCTATCACAACGATGACCCAATACAAGACAGACTACAAATTCCCCATCGCCTTCCCCCCACAGCACATGGGCAATGTTCTCGCAGAATGGCTGGGCAAACAAGGTCTCAAACAATGCCACGTCGCCGAGACAGAGAAATACGCCCATGTCACCTTCTTCTTCAACGGCGGCGTCGAGAAGCACTTCCCTGGCGAGGAGCGGGAATTAATCCCGTCTCCCAGAGTAGCGACCTATGACCTCGACCCGAAAATGAGTGCTGCTCCCGTTGCGGATAAACTCGCTGAACGTATTGGGGAGAAGAAATTCGAGTTCCTGATGAACAATTTCGCCCCACCAGACATGGTGGGTCATACCGGAGTGTATGAAGCTACCATTGAGGCCGTGACGGCCACGGATAAGGCTATTGGACGGGTTTTCGAAGCCTGCAAGCAGAATGGATATATTCTTTTCGTTACTGCTGACCATGGGTACGTTTAGTTCAAGTAAATGTAACATAACATATATCTGAAGTCTGAAATACTAACAACGCTGGTACAGGAACGCCGAAGAGATGAAGAACGCTGAGGGAACACCCAAAACGTCACATACGACCAACAAAGTTCCCTTCATCATGGCTAATGCCCCAGAGGGATGGAGCTTGAAGAAGTCCGGTGGCGTTTTGGGTGATGTTGCGCCAACCATCCTCGCGGCCATGGGCATTGAACAGCCCAAGGAAATGACGGGACAAAGTCTTCTCGTCAAGGCTTAGAATGATTCTCTTTTTGTGTTGAGTGTAGTATCAGCATAGAGATAGACGGTCTGTATTCCTTTCTTCGAATGTGCGGTTTGTTTCATTTCTTTCTCTCCTTCAACCCTTCCATCCATGAAATGGACTAAAAATATTAGTACTTAGGGGATATAGACGCGTGGTAGAGCTATGACCAGTGCATATTTTGGCAATATCTTAATTTATAGTCGAATATCTTTTTTGTTAAAATTTTCTAGTCTTGGGGAAGTCCATGGTAAAGCACGTTGATGTGACCGCAACTTGCGGGATATGTGTGTGTCATTGAGCGATGATAACTCTGAACAGCTGCTGTCCTTTTCTCGGTGCAGATAAACAATTTGAAGCAAATGCGGGTGCATGCTATATTCAGGAAAAATAGTGCGCTAAACAAATACGCCGTTTTAACCCTCTTTTCCCTTTGTCAACCTCTGCTATTGGCACTGCTCTGTTGTCTTTGCAGCTCCCTGCGCTTGACCGTATTCCTAAATCTGTCAATTGCATTTGTCTTGGTCGCCAATGAATCTAGTTCCTCAGTCGCAATCGGTTCCCTTATAGGGAATTTAACCTAGAACATTCCCAGGATACATATAGTGGGGCAAATGCTCCCAAGGCTCGGAACGGTTTCGTAATAATCCAGTGTTACAGAGGGAAGATATGGCTCTGGGCAAAGGAACTGGACCTGGTCATCAAGTCATTATATTTATATAGGACCGTATTGATTGTCACTATCAGGCAGTAGCTGTGCCTTCTGGAGGCTGTTGCTGTTGTAATTGCGTTTGTAGTTGAATAATCTGCGAGAGAAAGGATCAGACAGGTGCTATAAAATGAGACGCTGACCAAGGGTGGTGCATACCTCAATCTTCTTTTTCTCGCTCTTCTCTTGAATATCACATATTTGCTTTTCGATTCGAGTTCTAGTCATCTCTCAAGTTAGCGATACATGTTGGTGAACGAAGAAATGTAATGCCCTTGTAGACAGGGCAAATATCCTTGCGAGTGGAAGGGGTGTTAAGGCGTGCACACACATCTCCTTTTCGATAAAACCCAGACGTCCGTCTACAGCCATCACGGCATCATGCTTATCTTGCTTAAGAAGAATCGGGCCAACCAATTTGTATATGTTCGCGTCGCTTTCAAGGGACTTGAATTCCTGTGTAGAGGGGTAATTCGAGAATATGTCAATGTGATAGTCCCAACCAAGGAATTACCAGTTCTTTTCCGCACCTTCTGTACACTTTTATTCTCCTGCTGCTGCGCTTCCAATTTCTCGCGGGCCTGTACAATCTCTTGGAGCTCTATGATAGTGCAATGATGGGTCTTAGTGGGTGTCTTTCATAGAAATGGGCTTGTTAGTGTACGCACCCGTTTCAAGCTTCTGGTACTCATCACTAAGCGCCTGAAGCTGTTTCTGTGGATCTGCCATGGCGACAATATAGAGAGGCGTTGTATATTAATATTAATGTTAGGGCAGAGGCTTGCTGTCTTTGAAAAGATGCAGGGGATGGTGTCAAGACAGGATGTTTGTCATGAAACCACATCTCGATGGCAACCGCACTAGCGCGGAGTGTCGCCTGCACCTCACCCCATATTTAAATATCTCATTCCAATCCACAACTTTCCACCTGCCAGCAACAACAGCCCCTGTTCTTTCACTTATTTAACTTGACATCCAAAGTTACAGGATATCTCCAGTTCTTGTCCAGTGCTGAATTTTGAGCGGCATCTGAGCACCATTCTACATACCACGCATTTCGTTTTGCTTGAGCGGGGGTTTACTTGTCGCAACCGCCGCCAAACACCCAGCGGAGGAACGTCGAATCGGGTCTCAACCCAGAGATCTATATTAGGTTCAGTCGATTAGAATTATAGGTATACCTTGCCGCCATGAGCAATACGGATTTCCTTGGACGGGCTATAGACACCGTGAAAAAGGCCATCGAACATGATAATGCCGGCGAATATGAGAAAGCCTACCAGACCTACTATTCCGCCCTGGAGCTGTTCATGCTCGCTTTGAAATGGGAGAAGAACCCAAAATCGAAGGAAATGATTCGAGAAAAGACTGGGGAATATATGGAAAGGGCTGAAAAACTGAAGAACCACCTGGCAGGGAATGATAATAGGAAAAAGCCCAGTGCTGTAGGAGCGAATGGGAAGGTCGCACATGGTAGTGGGAAAGGAGCGTACGTTTACCCCTAGACCCTGGCTTTTGGGCTGTTTTGTGTATCTAGACTACCTCAAAGCCTTAATTCACGAGGGTATGTAGCTGACATTTGCCGCCTGAATTAGGAAAGACGACGACGACGAAGACGCCGAAGCGAAAAAGTTACGAGCTGCCTTAGCTGGATCCATATTATCTGATAAACCAAACGTCAAGTGGGATGATGTTGCTGGCCTTGATCAGGCGAAAGAGGCTCTCAAAGAGGCGGTTATTATGCCCATGAAATTCCCCCATCTTTTCACCGGCCAGAGACAACCGTGGAAGGCTATATTACTTTATGGGCCACCAGGAACCGGCAAATCGTACCTCGCCAAGGCAGTAGCTACGGAAGCCAATAGCACTTTTTTTAGTGTGAGCAGTAGTGATTTGGTCTCCAAGTGGATGGGTGAGAGTGAAAGGTAGGGAAAATATTATTATATGTGATATGTGTTTAGTGCCCCGGCTTGGGATTATGTCTAACTTCAACTTTCAGGCTCGTCAAGCAATTGTTTAATATGGCCCGTGAGAGTAGACCAGCAATTATATTTATCGATGAGGTGGACGCCCTTTGCGGCCCCCGTGGTGAAGGAGAGTCAGAAGCGTCCCGTCGCATAAAGACAGAATTGCTCGTACAAATGCAAGGTGTCGGGAAGGATTCTGAAGGAATCCTAGTTCTAGGCGCCACAAATATCCCCTGGCAATTAGATATTGCTATCAGACGACGATTCCAACGGAGAGTCCACATCAGCCTCCCAGATCTTCGGGCAAGGATGAAGATGTTCATGTTAAATGTTGGAAGCACCCCGTGTCATCTGACGAATGCAGATTACCGACAGCTCGCTGAAATGAGCGAAGGATACTCCGGAAGCGATATCAGCGTCGTTGTCCAAGACGCGCTCATGCAACCTATCCGAAAGATTCAAACTGCAACCCACTATAAGAAGGTATCTCATCCTTTTCCTTCCCACTGGCCCTTTCCTCTACCATGCTCGCATAAACATGGGTATATTATCAACGACTAACAGATATCTTTCAGGTAATTGTCGACGGGCAAGAGAAGCTCACACCATGTTCACCTGGTGACAACGGAGCCACGGAAATGACCTGGGCAGACATAGATTCAGATAAACTTCTCGAGCCACCACTTCTGCTCAGAGATTTCATCAAGGCGTTGAAGTCTTCGCGCCCCACCGTGAGCGAAGACGATTTGAAGAAAAATAACGAATGGACGCAGGAGTTTGGTAGTGATGGATCGTGATATATTACATGTTTCCGTTTTACATTTCTATTTAGAGTCATACATGTTGCTTCTCTGGATGTTATGAGGCGCCCTTGTCCAGTTCTGATGAATGAATTATGAATGGTTGCGAGGCGCATTTTCGTCTTTGTTATCAAGTTCTGCTACCCTTATTGTCGCTTGATTATTTTGCTATCTCTTTCCTCAGATGGAATATTTATGATGAGCGCCTCTGGCTAGCCAACCTCAACCCCCTTTCTCGTCCGGATGACGATACTCACATTGGTTTTTGGCACTTTTGTTCATCTCATTCCGCTCAGGTACATTCCTCACTTCCCCGGTAATTAAAAAACTTTGGATGATCTGTCATATCTCCACTCCCCTCTATCATCCACACATTTCTATTATCATTTCAGCCGGGCGCGACTCAAAAGCGGAAATAGTGAGCGGTATAGAATAAATAATTATGGATGCCTTGCGTCTTACATGCAAATAAGAAGAAACCCAGAACGCCAGAAACTAATTATTGAGAACGCCAATGTACATCATATATATAAGGCTTGCCTATCAAGCAGAAACCAACTAAACGAGAGAGTTGAAGATCATCATTATGCAAGCGGGGTTATAAAAAGGAAAAGAACACAGGGAAAAAGCTCCGTAGAGCAACGGTAGAGAACCCCAGAAACACCGGGCAAAAGAACCATCAAGTGCTGTACATGGTAAGCAATGGATGAACATCAGGCGAGAAATACTCTCCAATTCAATCCTCTAAAAGTCAAGAAATTTGTAGATCGCATAGAAATAAGGAAACAGACGTAGAAGAAACGAGAATGGGAACCTTTAGACCAGAGTATATCAAATACTCTCAGCCGGTACGGCTTTCCTTCTCATACTCTCCCTTTTCTTCAATACCTCCCCCTTTGCTCTGCGAAGGCCTTCACCAAGCTTCTTTGACTTGCTCCATTCGGCACTCATCATCTGCATCCGGCAGACAGCCAAGATTGTGCAGGCTACAGCTTTGAGTTTTAGCCGAGGGTTAAATTTCTTTCGAGGGCTTGGGGGCTTCACTCCCATTTCAGCGATCATTTTGAGATCGGTTTCGTTACTGTTTACAAGAAAAGTATGCATGTCAGTCATGACCATTGTTTGAAAGGAAGGAGGGGGACAAGAAGAAAACACTGCCAAGCTGGGAACATTCTGACGTACCAGGCAATCCGAACCCGTTCACCCAGCTCCATAAGCCCCTTACTCCACGCAAGGTCCCTGCGGAACTTCTCCTCCCGGGCCAATCGTGCCCTTAACCACATAATTTCCTTGCCTAAGCCATTTATTTCCCTGGCATGCCTTCCTTTTCGTTCTGAATGCTGCGTCAACTCATCTAGTAGAGCGTCGTATCGGTCTTGTAATGACTCTAGCTCGCGATGAGCCGCGTCTGCTTTCTTCATGGAAATGGCGCGCTCGTCACGCACTCTCCGTAGGTGTATTCTCAATTCATTAACACGGGCGTCACGCTCGGAAAGTCGCACTGCTAGAGATTCGGCTTCAAGAGTCGAGGATTTAAGCAATTCGTGCAGGTCTTTACGCTCCTCTTCGTTTACTGTGGCATGTTGCAATTCGTGGTTTTGGCTTTTTAGATCTTTCATGGACTTGTGCATGTCAAGGAGCTGGCTGCGGAGGCTTCGAAGTTCCCCTTGGACTTCAAGTGTTGTCGGAGACCCGTTGGAAGAGCGAGTTGTTAGCTCTTTTGCTTTGAGCTCATGATTTTCCCGGTCCAATTCTACGATACGCGTTTTCAGGTCGCGGATAGAGGCCTTGAGCGTCGATTCACGCTGAAGTGCGTCTCTTTCTTGGCGTCGTGCATCTTCCAAGCTTCGCCGCAGGATTGAAAAGTCGGGTGACAGGGACGCTTCCACGCGAGGAGATGCCTGGTTGTTTAGGAGGGTCTCGAGTTCTCGGGTACGTAATTCAAGTCGCTCAGCTTTGCTTCTAGCGGCAACGAGTTCACGGTCGCGCCTTTCTGATGACATGAATATCTTATCTTGCAGTTGATCAATCTCTCCAGACAGTCGATTCTCCTCTGCTGCCGCCCGTACGATTTCATTGTCAAGATCGGCTTGTAATTTGTCTTTGGTTTCCAACAAAGTTCTCTTTTCGTCTCTCAGGCGGCTCAACTCGTTTTCGAGTCTCAGCTTAGATTTTCGGAGGTCAATCTTTTCCTGATCGAGGCGATAAGTATCATCGACTTGGCCTTGAATTCGACGGATTTGGCTTTGCAATTCATCACGCTCAGCTTCTAGTTCAGCAGATGCCATGCGTAGATTATGAATCTCGATGTTCGCGTTGGCTAGGTTGTCCCGAGCAACTTGTCTCTCTTTATTAGCCGCTTGCAACTGTTTCTCCAGATCTGAAGCGCCCGATTTCTGCTGATTTCCGGCAAAGGCTCTCTCTTCCTCAAGAGTAGCTTGCAATACCACAATATCATCCTCTAAGGCTTGCAACTTCTCTCTTAGGCTGCTTTCTTCCCGCCTAGCTGCCCTTAATTCTTCTTTAACACTCAGTAGTTCCTGCCTCTGACTTTCGGCAGCTTGGCGTTTGGACGCAATATCATCATTAAGCTCTTTGATTTGGCGGTTCAGTAGTTCCTCGTCTTGTAGATGGCGTTGCTTCTCGCTTTCGATGATATTTTGGAGTTTATCTTCTCGACTAGATAGTGTTGTTTCGACGTTCTGTAGTTTGTCTATCGTCCGTTTATACCCAGCGGCTTGTTGTTCGACCTTCTCCTTTTGAAGTTCCAAACTCCGTTTCAGACTATCCCACCTATCCCGATCTGTTGCATGCTGACCCTCTCGATCTTCGATGTCATGTTTGAGGGACTCTATTTCATCGTGAAGTTGGTCTAGCTGATTCCTATGCTGCAATCGGAGTTTGTCCGTGTCGTTCATGTATTGGTCCCTTTCCGCCTCGATTTGTTCTTCAAGATTCGATATCCTCGTCTTTGCCTGGGCCAGATCACGCTGAAGACTAGCAGACTCGTTTGTAAGGGCATCATGTCGAGTTTTCAAGACATCCTTCGCATTCTCTCCATTTCGAATATCGTCGTCGGCGTGGTGTAGACGTTCCGAAATGTCGTCCCGTTCCCTTCTAGCAATGTCCCGCTCATGCTGTGCTAAATCAATATCGTCTTGCATCCTCGCTTTCTCGGCAGATAGGTCCTCTTTAAGCCCTTCAATTTCATCTTCAAGCATGGCTACCTCCCGAGTCTTACTCTGGAAATTTTCCTCCAGTACATTATGCTCCTTCCGGAGTTTGTTAAGTTCGTCCTCCAACTTGTGAGCTTTCTCCTCGAGTTGGCGACTGAGCCCCTTTGTGTAGAAGGATTTGTCAGTCATTTCATCTTGAAGTTCCTTCAAATCTTTCACGGCTTGTTCCTTCTCTTCAATCGCCTCTTCACACTTTGACTTTGCTTCCCTTGCTTCTGACCTGGCTTCCTCTAGACTCTTTTGGAGGTCCTCTAACTGCTCCTTGGCCCGTTGAAGTTCGGCTTCAAGCTCAGCAACCGAGCTCTTCTCATCTTGCTGCTTTTCCTTCAGATTTTCAATCTCCTCTTTCTGGTTCTCAACAAGTTCGTTCTTCTGTCTGAGGTCATATTGAAGATCTTGTATCTCTTCCCGAAGTTGCTGTAAACTTTCTGACTCATTTTCTTTCATAGATTCCAACTCCTCTTGCAGCTCATGAAGTTCGTTTTCTTTGCTCTCCAAGTCTTCGCGCATTTGGTCCAATTCTCTCTGCACATTTTCATTAACGTGTCTCCGATTTGCCTGTGCCTGCAGCTCTTGTAATTCAACCTGACATCCGGCCAAATCCTGCTCCGCGCGCCGAAGACTCTTTTTGCATTGATGTAAATCCCTCTCCATCGTGAGTTTCGTGACCTTGAGTTCGGTGTTTTCTTGTATCGCGGCTTGGGCAAATTCGGGTTTCGACAACTTAAAATTTTGCTCTAAGAAATGGATCTTTAATTTTAGACCGAAATTCTCCTTGTCGAGTTTATTAATAACCTGCGATTCAATTTAGAAACTGTTAGTGACCTGTATAGGCTTTGGTTACGCGCAAATCAAAACTAGAAAGAGTACATTTTCTTGTTCCTTTAATGTCATCATATTATGTCCATCCCCGACAACGTTGCCATTCCTCCCTGGCAGGGTAGGGAGAGGGGTGCTCTGAGCGCTGCTGCTGGCTATCCGTGGAACGGGCGTAGGGTCACCGTCAAGGTTCGTGGAGTCATCGCCATATCCAGTCATATCCATGTTTGGCAACCCCGGGGTATTGCGGTTACTGTGATATCCATTTCTCAAAGCCGCTGGCGTTTCAGGCCCAGAGCGTCGACGTGTCGAATTATTATGTCGGATAAAGTTATTCCTGGAAACGCTATTCAACATCGGAGTAAATTCTCCCTTGGGCGGGGGGATAGTTGGAAGATTGCGGCGGTCATGGAGAGCATTTCTCGTCGGGTTTAGTCGTGAGCCCGCTCTGGGCGTTTTTAGGCTGAATTCAGAACGCTTTCGACTTCGCCCAGTTTCGAAGCCTTTGATTAAATCATGGTCTTTGGAAGGCGATTGAAATGAGTTTTCAACGGAGCCTAAAGCCGACAAATTGTTTCGCGCAACGCTGCGGAAGCCATTGGTCAAATAAGTCGCGTTCCCATCAATTTCGGTGCGTGGGGTATCGATGTAAGGCAGTGCCATTTTTGCCCTATAGATGACGGTTAACCTGAATCGTGCTGGGCTGGTCGTATATTCATTATAAGGAAAATCATTGAATGGGAATGCGTACCCCCCAGAACCTTGGTGAGAAATAAAATACGCGGTGACGATGCGGAAAGATGGGTTTGGATTCTTGGATGCTGCGATGTTTACATCTAGCCTAATCGGGCGTAGCGCACTCCCGCTGCGTATTTTCAATCGGCAAAACATCGGCCCGGGTGTTTGCAGAATTGGTGAGGTCATTGTGACTGGAAAAATATTCAAAGGTTGCCCTGAAAGTGAATAGATAGCAACGTTGGATTAATATCAACATGGCGCCCCCTACAGATGAGGATATCGAGTGGTTTAGGTCTACATTTCGCCCTATTCCTAAACCCCAGATCCCAGATGATTGCATCGAATATTCACTGTATTGGATTTCCCCAGGTAATACCGACTGCACAGGAGGTGGTGCTGATTTAATTCGGAACCGCCTCGCCGAAGTCCAAAGAGCCGCAGCAGAGCTCGCGAAAACGCACTTGAAAGACTATATATGGCAGCGTGATGCGTTTATGTTGGAAATGATTCGAGAAGATGGTGAGCAGGTTCGTTTAGTTGGCCCTCGGATACCAAAGTATTTGGAGGGCGCCCAGACGTAGGAAAACTAACCATATCTTTCGCGAACTTGCGATAGGACTGAATTTACTTCGTGGACGAACTGTATATGGCGACTCAATCGAGGACGAATGGGTTATTGTTTATATATTGCGGGAGTTGACACGACAGTTTGAGGACCTATGGGTGAAGGTCTCGGATAGTGATGGCGAGTTTTTGCTAGTGGAAGCCGCAGCAACACTGCCATCCTGGCTCGAACCAGAGGTTGCAAATCATAGAGTAGGTGATGAATACTCCTAGAACTAGATTCGATATGCTAACATCTTCCAGGTTTGGATTCACAAGAAACAACTACTCATCATCAAACCAGATAGAGTCAAAGGATCGACCCTTAAACCTCTAACATTTCGAGAGGCGAGGGAAATAATTCTTGTAGAACCTAAACGATTAATGCATTCCCCAACGATCGAAGCCGAGGCGTTTTATCGACTTCGAAATTACCCGAAACAGATTGCTGACAACCTCCACACGTCCCCAATTACTATTCCTCGGAAGCTTGCGCACATCCTACACATGAAACCGGCTTATATATCACCGGCGGTCGACGCCTTCTATATTCGAGATCCGATATCCTTGCGACCCTTGAAGTCAAAGGACACACGCGAGCTAATATTCAAGCCTGAGGATTTAGTCACCGTCAGCGTTCGCTTTACAAGGGTTGGGTACGCACAATTAAAGAGCCAGGATTTTGAACTGCCTCCAGCCTGGAAGGATAAACTCCCACCTCAAACCGCGAAAGCGGATTATGCTCGCGCTGAAACGGGGATGAAAGTCACTAGTGGGTTTGAAATGCTGTTGTCAGACCCTCAAAACCAGGATAAAGTAGCAGTAAGGGAAATAAAACTCGTACTAGGAGATATTGAATCTGGAGATGAGAAATTACCTACGAATGATGAAATTGAATCGACCTGGGAGAAACGTGAAGATGACGAGAAGTGGCTGGATATTAGCTTCGAGGACCTTGAGGAGGAGTTGAAAGGCCGACATGGGACTGACAAAAGTGCTAAACCTGCCCGTGCATTTGGCGACCAAGCTGCTCAAGAGAATCTTCAAAGAATAGTGGAACGGTTCGAGCAATTTTTGAATGACGACCGTGCTGGTCTGGATGGGGCCGATTTTATTGACGAAGTGGACTCTGATGATTTCGATGTTGATAGTGAAGATCTCAGTAGCGATGGCGAAGATAAAGAAGTATCATTCGACGAGGATGAGTTTTCGAAAATGATGCAGGAAATGATGGGACTTCCTTCGAAGCCAGAAGGGAGTGCCCGCCCCATAACGTCGAAGCGATTTAAAGAACTGGACTCAGGCGATGATGAAAATGAGGATGACAGCAAAGAGATAGAAGATTTATCAAAACAAATGGAGGCTGAATTACGAGCAACTGGCGTCCTCGATTTGGATCCAAAAGGAAAGGGTAAACAGGCTATTAAAGGAAAAGCGCGAGCTCGTCCCAAAAGGCCCTCGGACGGAAACCAGGAAATTGAAGGCAACACCGACGATGAGGAAGACTACCATGCTGAGAGTGTGGACTTCAATCTTGCTAAAAATTTGCTCGAGAGTTTCCGCAGCCAAGCTGGCTCAGCAGGACCCGGAAGCAATTTGTTAGGAATGATGGGTATGAAATTACCCAAAGATGATCGTGAATTGAAATAGAGAATTAGAAGCTACAATATCACCCATATAATGAACATATAACATTGAACGAGGACACAACAGACAAGGATAGCAGCTAGTACCGAGAGATCAGCTTCGTTTGCTCGAATTGATAAACTACTAATCCGCTATTGGCAGACAGAAAGTTGTGGCACGCGCCTTTACAGAAAATACGATAATCTAACCCAGCCAAACAATTATATAAAGGACATCTAAAACTCACATGATTCTGTACGTAGACGCAATTGTCCAGGTGTACACAAGTCGTTTGGTCGCGTCCGGCTCGATATGATACACGGCATAACATCCACATGAGCATTCACCAAACTTCCTCGAGTCCCGGACCTGGCTGAACTACTAAACCTCCATCCCTCCAACAAATTCCACGCAGCCACTCTGGGCCAACCCTCGGTCCCAATCAGTAAACGCTTTCCAAGACATCTATCCCTTCACAACAACTCCAGCAGGATCAAATGGCACAACTTCACCCGCTGCGTTCACCATTGCTGGTTCAGTGTCGCTGCGAGCTGTAATGTAGAATTAGCAAGCTTCCTTTTGGTGTTGAATCATTGATCAGGGTCTACCGTACAATCAACAGTGGAAGGAGCAGCAAGGGCGACAACCAGGAAAGAAAAGAGAACGACTACGGGCTTCATTTTGGGCGAGATGGCTTCGATGGTTTAGGCAGGAACTTGAATGAGGAGAGGAAGTTTGTTCGATTGGAGAGGGACAGAAGTCGTCCGGCGACAGACGCAGGGCTTGTCTCGTTAACGGAAAAGTGGTCTGAACAAAGTGAGGGTTCCACAGGACGCCAGATCAAAAGGATGAGGAAAGGAATCGTGTACTCCCAGCTTTAAATGGATGTAAAAAGAGGAAAGAGGCGGCGGGCACAATATCACAAGATTTGCGGATTTGGTAAAAGTGACACAGGAATAAAAAAGCTTGAAGCGGGCCACCCCCTTCCCGTAGGGGACTTCGTGATGTATATAAAAGCTGCCAGAAGCTAACAGGAGACACAGTGAAACTAGCTGTGCGGCAGACATGTTAGAAATATGGCGCTATTTCTATCGAATTTGAAATTATTCGTCCACGTAGGGTAACCATGATGTTTGGAGAGGCTCTGTCGCCCCGTTCTCGTTTGCTAGCGGTGGATACCCAGAGGAAGTCCAGTCTCAAGTCTGTTAATCATGGAATTCGATATTTTGGAAAGTGAACATCGGATAATGACGACGGAAGTTGCTTGGTTCATAACAGTAGCACTGGAACTTGGCATGGTTGCTGAAACGAGGCTGAGACGAGAGCTGTTTTCAGGCACGGTGGTTGCGTGGCCATTCGAAGCAGCGCCAGATTTATATCTCGCCCTGGTCACTATTCAAGAGCTCGAATGTGATGGTGATGGGAACCTAAAATCCTTTAATTCGCACAACCATAGCTCGTCTTGTTGTATGGGCTTTTTTACTGCGTGATCGTCGGTTGGTAGGGTGGTTCCCTCGGGCTTTGTGCTCACTAGATAAATTAAGCTTAAATTAAGCTATTGGCTAGTGTCGGAGCCCCACTTAGTCTTTTGTTGAACCATTTTAGTATACAGCGTTGTATTGCATAACTGTGCTCTTCAGCTAGTTATGTATATTCTGAGAATTTCAATTAAGAGGAAACTGAAGCAGTTCAGGTCACTTTAAGACTCTATGATTCACTACTCGTCCCGAAGCAGCGATGGCACGAGTAGTGCATAATCTGTACATGGACTATGTGGCCGTGGCAACGAGCCGATTCGCTTCGCCGGCCGGTGCTTGCAAGCGTTAAAGTATTCGACATCACCACTTGGCTTTCACAGCAGAGGAGAAATTAACGCCCACAGGGAATACGGCTTATAAACAGTAAGTAGTATCTATCTCCAAAGCTGTATCTCCTACCCAGACATTGACGCTAGTGTTGACCAAATTAGATACATGAAAATATAAATGCAGAAGCAGAAATACAGAAGTGAAGATACAATATATTTTAAAAGGAGAGAAATCCAGAAATCCAGGAACACAATATTTCTACTAGATTTTCCCCCTCTGGATTAGCGCGAGTTGTCTCACCACTATATCTTAACCCTTCCCTCACCCTCCTCACCCTCTTTCCACCCACTAAGAAGAAGCATGATGTGATACCTCCTCATCTCTGTCAAGTTTACACAATGGAGCGATTTCTTTTCAGCTGGCCTGTGGAGTGGGAGATGCGGCCACCTGTAGTAAAAGGGACACATTTGCCAACATTCAACATTCCCTTTTCTATTCCTCACTTTCCAACTGGTTTTGGCTCTGCTTTGCTACCAAGATCTACAATCTCCCTCCACTTTTTATTCTTATTGTGAGCTCCCCGTAATCAATGGAAAAAACTTACATCTTAGTTTTTTGTTTACCTCACAAGTTTTTGCACAATGGGGAGAGGATAACTCATGAAATGAGGGGACAGAGGGCCAGAGATGCTGGTTTTAACCTGGACAAGTCCAAACTAAGTGAGAAATGAGTTCTCAGAGGCTTGGAAACTGGTGTCAAGCCCATCCGCCCCACAGATGGGCCTTCAAATTAACTGGGTTGAACATGGAGCGGACTTTCATACTGTTAAGAAGGAGCTCATGGAGTAAGAAGATATTACTGTATTACAGTCTATTGAATTGACCACGCCCAATTAGTCATTTGATGTATCAACTCAGTTACAAATAGCGAACACATTTGTAGACTCTGTAAGAGATACAATACTCTTTGCATAACTGCGCGAGAGCTCAAACCAATAATTGAGTATATCAGGAGAGATCGGATGTCTGCTGCTCGGATGAGGATAATTTAAACTGGCAGAGTAAAGAATAGAGAGCACCTGCACCTATACTTCATATCTGAAAGACTCAAGTTATAACATGAAGATGAGAGTTCCTACCACTCATGCTAATTATAAGAACCTCAGTGACCTAGACGTCAGTGAAAATAATCTCTCTTCTGAAACTTGAATGACTTCAGAATACTGTCATAGTCTATAAATCAACTGCAAGAAAACATAGATATAGAGTGAGTTTTAGAGATGAAACAAATCTCACAGCTTGATTGATGATAGAAAATATATCATTTATCTGCCTCTTCATTGTAAATGAGGTTTCCAAGATGACAATTCAACAGACAAGTGCCTAAGTTGTACATTTCTCTGTGTAGTTTGGATTAGTCAAATCCCTTCCAAAAAAGCCCCGCCCCCGCCCAAGTCCAAAAAAAGCAGAAATTAAAATTATAGAAATAAGAAAGGCACAAAACATATGATAGGCCTTTATGAAATGCAACCCTAATCTTGTCACATTTGACAAGGCCATAAGATCAAAAATCACACAGTGTAACTCCAGGAACCTTTTTCATCACCAAGAACACAATATATCTTTCTGAGACAGGGAAATAATCCTGTGATTGCAAGGACTGCACTACATTAAGTAGTTTTGATGTCACTTTGCAATCTTTTCATTGAAGTAAATATATCCTTATCATGTTCACAGTAATGGATCTTTCAAAGCACACTGAGCGCGCTTGCAGGGATCCCAGCTAGAAGGATATTCTGGGGGTGCTCTACTAGTGCAAGAGTCGATGGCCGCGGCAATCCATCACTTACTGAAGTTAAACCTTGAGAATTGCCTCCATGCCAACTGATTCACCCTTGATTTGTTGACAGATGTAGACCGCCTGGGCCTCAGACCATGCAATGTCTGTGTCCGAACATTCTGCTGGCACAAACTTTGCCTTTTCAGTCAACTTTGTACAAAACCTTCATACAGTCCCATCAGGGCAGGTAAGGTGATAGCCAGTAAAAAGAGCACTGATCCAGTGCTGGTAAACGAATTCGCGGCCCATGAAGATCGAGAGTGCGGTCAAGATAAAGGCGTTGTAAATGGAAGATGGTTGGGAAATGGGAGAATGGTTGCGGTTTATCCCGCCAGGCAACAATAGTGTTGTTGTGCCACAGCGTAGTTAGTGGAATTCACACTGCAATGAAATTTTGAAAATAAGTATTGATACCTAATTTCATTTTTATGAAAAACATGAATATCTTCAACATCGTAATAGATATGAGTCCTATTAATGAGAGGTAGTGAGGTTGCATTTGACAGTTATATATATGGATATTAATTAGAGTTAGTTAACTTAGATCAAATAGAATAGATTATATAAATTACACTATTTCATATATTTCATATATTT